AACCTCCACCCGTTCCCTCAGGTCCTCCTCCTCCATCCACCTCTCAGTCCCACCTTTCCGTCTGGTCACTATGGGGAGCAGGGCCTTCAGCCGCTCTGCTCCCCAGCTCTGGAACTCACTTCCTCCTGACCTCCGTAACATTGATTCCCTCACTCTCTTTAAAACCAGACTCAAAACTCACCTGTTCCGTCTAGCATTCCAATAATTACTCTCGTTGCTCCAATCTGTCTGTTTGTTTTATGCTGTTCTATCTTTTATTGTTGTGTATTTTATCTCTGTAAAGTGTCCTTGAGTGTTCAGAAAGGCGCTGTTGAAATAAAATGTATTATTATTATTATTAAATTTCAACCAAACATGAAGTTAGAGTGAGCTGATGAATCTGCCGTTACTCCTGCAGGACTGGTGGTTCTGGGAATGATGTGTTTCTACTGGGGAGAGGCCCGAGTCCAGAAGCTCCACACAGACTGGGACTCTCTGCTGACTCAGACTTTGCTCTACGCGCCCTCGGTGCTCCACATCGTCTACACAAACATGCTGGCGACTGTTTACAATACAGCAGTTCAGTCTCTAACTGAATACGGTGAGTAAGTGAGTCAACTTTATTTATATAGCGCTCTACACACACTACACAGTAACAATGAAACCAGTCAACTCAAATACAACCACACATCTGGTTATAGTCCAGATGCTCATTCTGAACAAGCTTTTACATAAACTGCCTTAAGTTTCTTTTTAAAGAATGGACAGAGTCCAGGGAACGTAGAGGCCAGGGAAGTTCCTTTCAGAGATGAGGAGCAGCCGCTGTGAAGCATCAGTCCGCTTGGGGCTTGTAGAGTTCTGGGGAACCACCAACAGGTTCGGACCTGAGGACCTTAGACTGCGAGCAGAAACTTTGGGCCAGCAATATATTTAGGAACCTGTCCGTTAAAGGTCCCAGAACTGAGCCTTGTGGAACGCCACATTATAAAATCAGCTGGCTCAGCAACTCGTGACTGAACCAGAACCAGACGTTGTCTACTGTGGTTGACCGTATCAAAGGCCGAGGACAGGCCTTGCAGGACCAGCACTGTACGTCTCTCTAGGTCAGCGGACATGATGTCGTTTCTCACTTTGAGTAAAGCAGTCGCGATGGAATGGTGTTTCCAGAACCCCGGTAAATGCGTCACAAACATCGACATACTTTCTCCAGGATGTTTCGTCAAAAAATAAGTTTTGAAATTTAGGGCTGTCGCAATAATCGCAAGAACAATATATTGCGATATTAAGAAACCCACCGCGCTGCATGACGTGCCACCGCAATTATCGCACTTGATTAAATCTCGCGACAGCGCATGCTGAGAGGTAAAGTCCGCGCTGATCGAGGAGATAGTAGGGCACTTTTTTTTTATTTCTGTTAGATGTTGCAGCCAAATTTGCATTTCAAAGTTAAACCTCCTGAATGTTGTTTTTAAGTTCAGTCAGAGAATGCCGTTTCTGCCCTTTGATCTGCATTCAATAAAGTGTTAAAAATGGCCATGTATTTTTTTCTAACATTTTTTAAATGTGTAAGCACAATGTTTCAAAGGAAATATTGCCACGAGTTTAGTAATTAACAAACAAATTTGCTAAGTACATAAATAAAAACGGGGTGCAATAATATCGCATATCGCAATGTTGAGCTGCCCTGACTCACCGCAGGGGGAATTCCTCAATCGCGACAGCCCTACTGAAATTGGCCTTGATGAGCAGCTCAGATGATCCTTGACAGAGAAAACTGCTGAGTCATGCAGCTCTAATGTTTGATTCTAAACAAGAATAAAGCAACAAACTTTTCTTCTTCCCTTCAGAGAACCACAGAGAGGAGTCGGCCCACCAGAACCACCTGACAGCCAAAGTTCTAGTGGTTAGTTCCTTTTCATCCATTCACTCATCACTAGCTCGCTCCAGTTCTGACCCGGTTATGTTCTGCATCTTCTCAGTTTACCTTCTTCAACTACTTTGCAGTCCTGTTCCACATCGCCTTCTTTAAGCGGGATGTGCCGCTGCTTCGAAAGGTAGAAGCCCAGCTCTGCACTTCTGATTTTAAAAATGGCTTTTGTGCCTCTATAACCAAACAAAGACCACACGCCATGAGATGAGGCTTTGCCCATTTGTAATTTCATTTTATACTAGTTGGCTTGTAGCTTGTGAATTAGTGAACGTATCGATACAAACATACTGTTTAATGAATCTTTCGTTTGGTTTTCAGATATTTTTAAACTGAGAGAACAGATTTGTTCCCTTCATTGGGAGTTTTTATGGCCAATTAAAAAGATCACTTTAATTCTGACTTGGTAAAGATGCAGATGTCCTCTTCCTGTCTGCAGCGTTTAGCATCTTTGCTGATCGTGTCCCAGCTGGTGAACCAGACCACAGAGATAGTCATACCGTACCTGGTGGACAGATATGTCAGCTCCCCGAACAGGAACGAGAAAGAAGATGGCTCAGAGGAGGACAAATTTAGGAACCAAGGCATGATGCCTCCTTTTCCTGTGAGTGACACAGGAGGAAACACTTCTTTAAGCAAATGATGAATTAAAATCCAGCCTCTTGTTTCGTCTCAGGGCCTGTTTGCAGAATACATAGAGCTCCTGGTGCAGTTTGGGTACTTGAGTCTTTTCTCCTGCGTGTTTCCTCTGACTGCTGTTCTGCTGCTCCTCAACAACCTAACAGAGATCCGGTCGGACGCCTACAAGATTTGCAAACTCTTCCGTAAACCCTTCTCCCCCCCAGTGGGTGATATGGGCGTGTGGCAGGTCAGCAGTGAACACGACACAAACAGGAGCAGCAGGTTCCCCCGACAGGTTCACCACGCTGGTCTGCATTCTTACAGATCGCCTTTGAGGTCCTGAGCTTCGTCTCCGTGGTGTCCAACTGCTGGCTGCTGGTGCTGTCACCGCGGCTACAGGAGAAGTGTCGGCGGGGCGAGATGAGCAGCACCGACCTTCTGCTGGGAGCCGTTATCGTGGAGGTAGGAGAGGGAAACGTGTAATAACCGCGACTCTCTGAGACCCGTCGGTCCGATTCCTTTCCTCTGTGTTTGCAGCATCTACTGATATTAGTCAAGGTGATTATAGCGGCTCTGATCCCAGATGAACCCAACTGGATCAGAAAAAAGAAGGAGCAGTGGGAGTACAAATCCATGCAGGCCCTTCGACAGCAGGTTGAGCCTGACTTTGTGTATTTTTTATGCATTGATCCGATTCATTTTCATGTTTTTGATTCATTTTCTCTTGTTTTTACAGAAGCTGCAACCTGAAAAGTCCTAACCGCTGCAGGCAGCACAAAAGGCTGTTAGACAGTAATGGGAATGTGAACGGTTTATACGATTAGACGTGAAACATGATTTACGATTTAATAATGGTGATGGGCAGTGCCAAAAACTAAGTTTCACAACCTGGTGACAAGCTGCAGATAATGTTCATAATTCACGAGTAGAAGACCGTACCATTAGTAAATTTACTTTCATAGTGCAGGAAAACAGAAAGCTGACTTCAGGACTTTTTGCTGAGGGATGTCAAAGTGCTTTAAAGGGTTTTTGTAAAAGTTTTCATTATGTTCTTAATAAATATTGATGCATGTAAATCTAACATTTTTTTTATCATATTTCAGATCCATCATTTTTCTAAGTCCATCTTCAGTTTCTTTTAAAGGGATTTTACGGACTTTTGAATTTTTATGCTCGCTATTGCCCCCTCAGGCCAAAAGCGTAACGGCAGCTTCAATAGTAGGCTCGTGCACGAGGCGTGCATGCTGTACGTGCACACTCCTTAACGAAAATAACAGCTGAGACAGTCCCGTGTGTGTGTGTGTGTGTGTGTGTGTGTGTGTGTGTGTGGCCCGGAGGACAGAGGACAGGAGAATGCGCAGCTAATTAATTAAATAATGTGGTTCTGTACCTTTCTCTTCAGCACAGCCGACAAAGGTTTATGATGGGTCAGTCCTCCTGCATGCTCAGATCATTCCCTTCCCTTGCTTGAAAAATTGTTCCAAAACGAAAGTTGAACCCACATCTTTTTTATCTGTGAATTCAATGCCGTTCGGCGAGTCTCAAATAAAAATTTGAGCATCTTACTGTAAAAAATATACCATTAATGTAAAAAATAAACTCTAAATAAACTATGTTCACATCCAGAATCAAACCCAGGTCTTCTGCATGGGAGTCCGATGTTTTACTAGGTGAGCTAAAGCACCAGTGACATCCTTTGTATCTGTAACATTTATATCCTTGATGACAGCTGAAACAACGTTCAAAGAACGGTTCGGAGTGAAAAAGGCTATTTTGCTGCTAATTTGCAGGAAATATCTAGAAGAAAGTTCTACAGAAAGTAGCTAAGGGTCCTCAGAAATGTAGCTAGCTTTGTCACTAGGCGTTAGGAACAGCGACAAAGTGGCACTGCCTCTCTCTCTGCTGCTAAAGCTACGGATAGCAAATGCTACGGGCGATGCCTGAGCGTGAACGCGCATGAAGCAGCCTGCTCGACCCGAGCATCTCTCTTTTTCTGTGATTTTACAGAAAAACAGGCAATCACAGTAAAAATGCCAGGGCTCATTCTACAGGACCAGGGCATTGCAGGAGAACGTATGAAGAAGACATTTATTATTTCTATACGTTTTGGCTGTCACACTTCCATAATGCCCCTTTAAGGAGAAAAAGTGCCAGCCAGCCAGCCGAGCTGAAATCTGTTTCAGTGTTGCCTTCCTCCCAACATGACTGAGACGCTGTTTTGGGATTATTTCACAGTAAAATTCTTACATATTGCTCCTTTAAAAGTGAGTCATGACAGAATAGGTTGCAGGAACTTCATGCTGATAAGAACCAGACTCACTTTAACGTCCACGCAATGGTTTTATTTAGACTCTTGAGTTGCAATGGCAATGTTTGATTTGAGTTTAGGTCGCTCAGTTTTTTGTTTTGTTTTGTTTTAGCTCATGTCTGCTTTTCCACCCATTTTATGATCAGTACCTATTTGACCTGTTTTATAAAACTATTTAGAGTAAGGTGAACGAATTTAGGAGCAAATTTATCTGACCAAATCATGCATGTCTTAATTAACCAGAAATGCTTGATCGATCTCAAGGTAGGTTTGTTTCTTTTTGACCTTCTTTTAGATTAGAATGTTAACAAATGACATTTTGATTAAAACACAGAACAACCGCACGTTCATGGGCGTAATTAAAGCGCATCCAGCCCTACCTGAGCTTTTGTAAAACCAGCTTTACTCACCTGCTAAAGCGCCGACGTTCAACCAGGAACACGAGGCCAGGTGTTGTCAATCAACGGCAGAAGACCAACACGTGTTTGGATTTGTGTTAAAAACGCGTGTCCGTGAATTTAGTCAATATTAGTTTGTGAAAAGATGATCAAAGGGTTGAAGTTTACACGTTTAATAATAATCTGTAGAAAGAAATAAGATAATTGATTATCCAGTGTTGTTTATTAAAATGTATTCTGGGGTGTTGGCACTGTCCCGCCACCAGATGGCGACATAATGACGTTTGTACATTCAAACAATGACTCAAACACGTGTGTGTGTGTGTGTGTGTGTGTGTGGTGTGTGTGTGTGTGTGGTGTGTGTGTGTGTGTGTGTGTGTGTGTGTGTGTGTGTGTGTATTACATTTTGTGGCTGAGCCTCAGTTATATAAATGTTCCTGCATTTATTGGTAAACACGTGAAGATATGATTTTTAAGGTTTGGCTGCTGGTGTCGAAGGACATCTTCATGAAGTTTCAAACCCATAAATAAGGACCACGTGTCCTTGATAAATGCTAAATCCAAAAGATAATTAGAAAAGTGCTGGCTGAGGACAAAGAAACATGGTTACATAACGAGATTTTAATCTCTGGTCCATTTTTGTTGAACATGATCCTTTTAAACCTTTTTAAAGTGAAACTGGTGAATTGTTGAGGGTCCTATCGGTGACATTTTTAAATCCTCGTTCTACATTTGCTTTATTACAGGTTCATTATAGGCAGAAGAATCATCCTATAAAAGAATATAATCATGTTAGATGGCAGAACATTGAGGTTTGTTGTTTTACTGATTTGAGGTCCTTTAAAAATAAACATCACAAACATCTATTGTTTTAATCCATTTTAATAAATAAATACAGAAAAATAAGTTCATGGCTCCATGAGAGAAGTGGTCCTGGTTAAAATGCAGGTCAGCAGACACTAAATAGAGACGGCACTCAGGAACAGGTCATTTCATCCCTCCCCTGGAACAGATTTGAAGCTTTTACGGCTGATGAGACACGAGTCATAATCAGATTGCACGTGACGGCTTCTCTGCTTTAATGCAGGGAGGGAGCAATCCCCGGCTGTTGGCTGCAGTTGCGTTACTGCAACAGCATGTCGTCGCTCATTCGGCTCCTGCTACTCTGGGAAAATACAGAACAAACGGAGCGATCATTTGGTAAAATAATACGACACAATAAGGAGACTCTGTGGGCTGGATCTGCACAAAACTCCTGATAATGCTTGAAAAAAGCTACCAGTTAGTAGCTTTACTATGTGCAATTCATCTCTCTGTGATATTTACAGTTACACCAAAAGGAACAGCCAACCGTCCTGTGAGACACACCGAGGTATAAGGTGATAAATAACATGCTAAGTCACACACATCTGCTCAGAGTCGATGTCTTTGTCACGTTATAAAAAATAAGAACAAATCAAACCTCACATCAAAAAATAAAAGTCGACTTCAAAGATTAAATATTCACAGTGACGTGTCCAGATCGTTTAAAATGGGGTGGCCCACTTTGTGCATGGGTGGCACCAATGGTTATGCTTTTTTTTTTTTTTACCCCAAGCCTTTTGTGGACAATGAAAAGCCCATCTAAAGGGAATTCTGTGTGGTGGCACCTGGGGTGGCCAATCAGATTCCAAGGGTGGCATTTGCTACCCCAGGCCACTCCCTGGACACGCCCCTGAATATTCAGTGTGACCCAAAAGAACCACCTGCATGTCATTTTCACACCATAAGACTCACATTGTCTCTCAGGCGTGTTTTAGTGTCATATCAGAGCATGTGTCATACATGTAACAGTCTTCATCATACAAGCTTAGGTGAAGAACCAGTGTGAGAAACAGGAAGTTCAAAGGAAGACGCCGAAGGTCGATGAGTCTGAATAAAATCAAACCCTTCATCAGCTGTTTTTAAAGATGCCACTTGTTCCTCGCCAAGTTTTACATTAAAGGTAAATTCTGTTGGGTTTTTTTTACAATTTGATTTCCTCCATTTTAATGCAAAAATTAAAAAAAAAAAAAAAAAAACCACCTTTAATCCATCAAGGCTTGATGCATAAAGAATGAAATTATCCACTTGTATTTACAACAGGTTAGCTGTTATTTTAATGGCTGAAAACAACATTTTAACTGCATTTTATTCCAATCTTGTTTTAAACCAAGTGCTGTACGAAACGTTTGAATGTCGGCGACAGCAGAGGCTGCTGAGCTACATGAATGAGGGCGATTTCTGGGGAAAATCTCAAAGCGTCTCTAAATATGTTGAAACAAACATTTCAAAATTTACCCAAACGCGATGCAAATCTGTGTTCGAAGAACTTTTATCCACGTTGATCATGCTGTGATGAAATACAATTTTCTCAGTGGCGACTCCTGCTGTTCAGGAGGAGAACTGCACGTTACTCAGCAGCACAGCTAGCCGTTAATAATCCAGCAACTTAATCCGTCTTAAAAAGGTTAGAGAGCAAAACAACCTTCTGAAAAATACATGTTTTTTAAACTCTTTTCCATTTTTTCCCAAAAATAAAATCAGCCGTTAGAAGCTCCCACGCCTGTAGTGAGTACAGTAGTGAAAACACTGTAGTGATCATTTTGAATTTGACTTTCTTCAAGGCAAAATCTGCTAAATGTGAGCTTTCTAACTGAGGTTACAGCTAAATAAATATTAATTATATGTGACCTGCTAAAACATCAAGTGAACATTGTTCCACGTTTGAATCACGTGATTCTTTCCACGATATTTTCAGATATTATGAAGCCAAACGTAGCGTTCTAGTTTAAAATACTGCAGAAATACTTTTACTTTGCAGCTTAGGACTCTCTGCAGTCACAACTCAGTTTTCCTACTGAAGATTCATCTGATTACAACGTATTTTACACCCAAAAGCAAAGAAAAGAGCTTTTTCTTAGTTCTATGCTCATTGTTAGCTGCCGCTCTGGTTTATTCTCATCTTGTTGCAGTAGAAACAACATGAATCTGTTTTATCTTATTAGGCACCTTCAAAAGAACAAAAAGGGCTCATTCAGTAAAATATCTGTCTCCCTCGTCATTCATCAGGTAGGTCCAGGTTTGTGTCAAAGCTACAGGTGAGGAGGTGTGGTCGCGTCTGTGCACAGCAGCTAACCCGAGAGCCCGTGGGATATTTAGCTCATTAGAGCTGAGAGTTTGTGCGTCTGAAGGTGTACACTCGTGTTTTTATGCCGAGGATCGTATCAGGAGCTCAGCTCAGAAGGTCGCCGAGGTTTCTGTTTGATATCCGTCCACCTGGTGACTTGTGAGCAGCCCAGGTGTCCCGGGGGGGCGTCCACTACAGCACGTGGCAGCAGTTGTACTGAGCCAGCGGGAGGATCTTAGGCTTGTTTTGCGTCGGTACGTTGAAGGCCAGAGCTTTCTCACACAGGGGGAACTGGAAGAGTCTCTCGCGGAGCTTGATGCTGTGACGCTTCCCCTGCTCCGCCCTCGGCGCCGGCTCGTCCCGGGCTTCCTGCGGACCGCGAGGCTGAGATTTATCAGTTGGCAGGTCTTCGACTGAAGCTCCTATTTTCTTTTTTGGCTCTTCTTTTTGCGTTTTCTGCACCTCCTTCAGGCTGATTGAGGAGGCGGAGATTTGTGAGTGAGAGGATTCAGATGTGGAGAGGGGGAGGGGCTTATCTGTGTTGTTGTTGGGCTCATCATCTCCATTTGAGAAGTCAGGGCGGCAACACGACACCCCAAATCCAGAAGTCTGACTGAGTGGCTCGTTCCAACGACTGACTGGTTGATCTGAAATCACACAACCCTCATCTTCTTTTTCCAGCTCAGCCGTGTCCTCCACCAGCTCCTCCTTTCGTTGACTGTCCACTTCTAACATCTCATCTTCCTCCTCATCCTCCTCACTGATCTGCTGCAGTGCAGGAAGGTTCTTGCTCACAGGAGGCTCTTCAACTGGAGCTGGACGAAGGCTGAAGCTGACGCTGGGCTGCCACGGCCCGGTAAACGCCTGCCGAGTTGAGGTCCGCTTAGCGAGCAGATCTCCACACTCAGGGACCCCTGAGGAGGGTGAGCCTGCAGTGAGGGCCCCTGAGATCCAGTGTGGTGGGGCCTCTGGGCTAAGGAGGGCATCCTCCAGGCCCTGCAGCCACTGGTGGGCCTCGATGTCATCAAGAGAAGCCCGGCGAGACGGATCCTTCTGTAGCATCCTGGAGATCAAACTGGCAAAAACAATTGTATTAATAATGGATCATTTTGTGCATAGCTTCATAATTATTTGCAGGACACTTTGGGGATAAGAGACAGAATTGGATCCAGCGGTCACACTTCTGGGTGGCTTTTGCATCTGGGAGCTGCTATCTATCCAGGAGCGTGTTCGGGTTCATCATGTGGACGAGGGAACATCATGTGAGGAGCCCCGAGTCAGATGTTCCAGGATAATCTGACACAGCACTTGTTTGGTTTGTGCCTGCCGCATTTTAACCTCAGCTGACTTGAAAATAAAAAGAAGCAAATGTGTAAAGTAGTTTATTTGTGGATCTGGACAAAATAAAATTGCTGGAATAACTTGCAGGCAAAGTTTGGGGTTTAGAGAGCTAAATTCAGGTGTTTTACAGCAGATCTAAACTGCCTTAGAGGAGGTCCTGCTGCAAGTAGGAGATGGAAACCTAAAAGCAACAGCGGGACCCCGATGAGGGTCCGACGGAAACGTTAATCGTCTGAAAAACCTGAACGCGTTTCTTTCTTAATGTCTGGTTAGAGAAAATTCGTTCTCAAAACTCATTTAAAGAGCAAGTCACCCCCAAATCACATTTTTTTTTGCTGATAAACTAAATAAATGAGTGTCTAATCGTGCTGCAGACACGTGTAGTCAATAATTTGGCACTTCAGTGCATCTTGGTTAAAATTCAAATATTCTGCCTAAAACTGTCAGTGTTGCCCGTCGTCAGGGGAAAATTCTGCTCTGTATTTGAATTTAAATCTGCCACTGCTATTGGCTAAGAGGTATGCTATGATGTCATCTGGTACATTATGATGTCACAATGCCATTGTGAGCCTGTGTGTGTGTATTTGTTAGCGGCTCCGCCCTCTCGGTCTGCCAAGCAACAGCATTTGTTGCATTTTTCAAACATGAAGTGGGAGTGGAGTAAGTTTCTTGTACGGGGTGACTTGCTCTTTAAGAACAAAAAAACAAACAAAAAAGAGGCTGCAAGAATGTTTTTGTTTAAAAAAGAAGAAATGAAAAGGCAACAGCTATCATCATTTAAAGAGCAAGTCACCCCCCTACCACAGTCTAAGTCCACTCCCACTTCCTGTTTGAAAAACGCAGCAAATGCTGCTGCCTAGCAGACCGAGAGGGCGGAGCCGCTAACAAATACACTGCAACGTCACGAAATGGCCTGATGTCGAGACCCACGGGACAAATCCACAGCCAGGTCAACTTACCCTGGCTGTGACACAACCTACAATATGTTCCCTCGCATGAGACTGAAAGCCTGATGCCCTGAAAGAGATAATAAAATCAAACAATAACTTTCTTTCCCAAGGTCTCATCTGCCTGCCTCCACAGAAGACTCCAGCTCGAGTCAGTTGCTAAATTCAAGAATGATTTAATAAATCAATAAGAACTCCATCTATGACTCATAATAATTATAAACAATGAAATGTTTAATTCATCTGTGCTTAATGATATGTTTAGCATGTTTACTTGACGAGGTCGTCGCCATCTGCACTCACACAAAAACAAAGTAAAGTTAAGTGAACGCATGACGCAGAGTTAACCTTTAGCCCAGTTCAGAGACTCCGAATCAAAGAGGGCGTGTTTCTGAGACGCCTTGGTAAAACGTCCCCAAACGTGTCAGCCTCTGATTGGCTGTATAAAGCATGACATCACATCTTTAAAACTAAACCACTGTGAGTTCTGAACCGTTCTAGAGAATCGCTCAGACCGGCCATCTGAAGCAAAAACCTCTTTAACCACCAAAGACTTTGACACGTCGTCAGAACCTTTTTGCACCTGCAAAGCTGATGAGCAGAACAAGCCGATATGGTTACGACTCCTTAAGAGTTATTCCTGAGACGCAAACAAGTTCCAACTGTCGTTAGCTGGGAGATGACCCTGGACTGACCTGGTCGGACGAGGAGTTAGTCTACGGACTCCGGTACCGGGGTCTCCGACCCCCTCCTGACATCTTGGATCCAAAAGGGCGTCTCCGCTTGGGTACGTAGGACACAGTGAGATTGCGCCTGAATGTGGTTTTGATAATAATCTATTTATAGCTTAAACAACCAAATTCTTTTAAATCCAGAACTCAGCTCTCTGAGATACGGAAGATCTGACCAACGTCGCATCCACACAGAGGTTCCAGACATTACCTTTAGCTCCATCCACTCACAGTAAATAATAGTTGAACCAAGTTTTAATTGTTTGTAAAAATAAATTCTTACTTTTATAAACCTGACTGTTTCTTGAATCAAAACGACGTGTGTACATTTCCCTAAAGAATAAAGAATCCTCGAGTCTTCTGACTAAAACAAATAAAGACCAGGCAAGGTGATAGTCTATGTTTAAATAGAGTATCACAGCTTATTGGTCTCAAGTGGCGTTAATAATATAAATCGCTCTTAAAGCAATTTACCTAACCCAACATACTATTTATTAACATTACAACACACACACCCAGGCTCACAACGACATTGTGACATCATATGGTACCAGCTAACGTTCTAGGCTACCTCTTAGCCAATAGCGATGGCAGATTTTAATTCAAACAGTGCAGAGTTTTTACCTGACGACGTCACAACACTGACAGTTTTAGGCAGACAATTACAATTTTCACTAAAATGCACTATAGTGCAAAACTATTGACGACACGTGTCTGCAGCACGATTAGACACACATTTATATAGTTTATCAGAAAAAAAAGTTGATTTGGGGGGTGACTTGCTCTTTAAGTTCAAATGGAAACGATCAACTGGAACACACACTAATAACGCTGCTCCGTCACACATCTACAGCTCTCCGGCCGAGGAAGTGCTTCGATGTAAAAAGTCAGATCTTCTTACAATTTACAGATTTTGATTTTGAAGGTTTAATCCAGGAGGTCGTTGCTCAGTACTCACTCGCTGCATTCACCAGAAACGTGCTCAGGAACAGAGTAACGGCAGTCCAGAATCATGACCAGAGTCTCGCTGTCGTTGGTCTCCTGGAAGGGAGGGACTCCACAGACCAACATGTAGAGGATCACCCCCAAAGACCAGATATCTGGAAAAAAGACACACAGAAATACATCTGCTTTACTTGTGAGATAAATCTCTTAGTTCAGATAAAAGTTCTGAGACAAAATCCTCTTGAAATATTCAATAAACTTAATTAAAAATAAACAAAAATATGAGGACGTGTTATTGCCTTACATTAGATAGTTTACTGCCTCAAATAAAGAAACATTTCTAAAAGTAAATATTTGTTTTAATTTCCCTATTGAGGACATTAAACCTTTAAAGTCTAAAATATGAAGATAAAAACAATCTAGTTTCTAAAACCGGATGGTTTATTGTCTGATTTAAATAAACAACAATGTTTTATTATGTGAATCTATTATATTATATATATTTATATATATTATAAAAAGTAATAAATCAATAAAATTGGCCCTTGCCACCTGTAGCTCCTCCACCAGAGGGCAGTGGAGTGTAAAGCTTCAGATGAAGGAACTATTCCTAAAGATTTGTGACAAACTAATCAAACTATTCAAGACCAGGGCCAAAAGTTAATATTCCTTGCTGGACACAAAAATGGGATTTTTTTATATAAAATAAAAAAAAATTGCATTTGTACTTAAAAAGGTAAAAAAAACAGACATTTTAGTCAAATCTGGAATTTAAACTAATCAGAAAGTATCGTTCTACATCTGGAGATTAAAATCATTATTCTAGAAATGCAACTGAAGGCCGCTCAGAAGATGGTTGCAAATGGCCTCCAAGCCACACTTTGGACATGCCTGGATTAAAAGGTAAAATTAATCCAGAGATGAGATCAAGTATAGCAGTCCAGAGAAGTTTGCATTATGACAGATTTTAATCTGATGAGGGATAGGCTACCTGCTGCATCAGATTATCGTATCAAACTGAAACACGGGAGTTGTTTGCTGTCATATATTCATTTGAAACCCATAAAAGAGTTTCAGGGGAACCATCAGGCCCACCCCCCCACCCCCCCCACCCCCCCACCCCCCTCAGAGCAACAGGAAGTAGTTTCTCTACAGAACCAGAGAGGAAACAGATTCATAAATCTGTGTGAAATATGTAGGAAAGTAACCGGCAGGGCGTGGTGCCGTCGACCCGGACGGAAAAGCACATTCACACGATGTCCGACGGAGTGTTCTTTTAGTGTCTCCTCCCTTTCCTTCCCCTCGTCTCCCCACACCTCCCGCATTGTGTTCTGATGCAAACACAGAGAACAGCTCCATGCAGACTCAGGACATGGCGACACACACACACACACACACACACACACACACACACACACGCACACACACACACACACACGCACACGCACACACACACGACAAACAGAAGCCTCGTTGTCTCTGCTTGTGTTTGGCCCAAACGCTGGAACCAGCTCAGCGCTTCTCGACGGGACTCCAGAAAACATCACAGATCAGATTAAATATTTTTGAACTTAAAGTCACACAAAAACACTTTTGATAAACATCAAAAGACCGGTTTAAGGTCCTTAATAAACGATTTTATAAAAATCCCATCGGAGTCAGCTGACAAGCAGGTCTGACCGAGTTAAATAAATGAATCCCAACTTGTTGTACCTGTCAGAGCGGCTCGTTAAGGTGGGATGAAGTTGAGACATTCACCCAGAAAATGTTGCCGTCGTAGTCTTCCTCCGCTTATCCGGGTCCGGGTCGCGGGGGCAGCATCCCAACTGGGGAGCTCCAGACCGTCCTCTCCCCGGCCTTGTCCACCAGCTCCTCCGGCAGGACCCCAAGGCGTTCCCGGACCAGATTGGAGATGTAACCTCTCCAACGTGTCCTGGGTCGACCCGGGGGCCTCCTGCCGGCAGGACATGCCCAAAACACCTCCCCAGGGAGGCGTCCAGGAGGCATCCTGACCAGATGCCCAAACCACCTCAACTGACTCCTTTCGATCCGGAGGAGCAGCGGTTCTACTCCGAGTCCCTCCCGAATGTCCGAGCTCCTCACCCTATCTCTAAGGCTGAGCCCGGCCACCCTACGGAGGAAACTCATTTGGGCCGCTTGTATCCGCGATCTCGTTCTTTCGGTCATTACCCAAAGCTCATGACCATAGGTGAGGATTGGGACGTAGATCGACCGGTAAATCGAGAGCCTGGCTTTCTGGCTCAGCTCCCTCTTCACCACGACAGATCGGCTCAGCGTCCGCATCACTGCAGACGCCGAACCAATCCGCCTGTCGATCTCCCGATCCCTCCTACCCTCACTCGTGAACAAGACCCCGAGATACTTAAACTCCTCCACTTGAGGTAGGACCGCTCCCCCGACCCGGAGTTGGCACCAGAAAATGTCTATTAATTAAAATTAGTTCAAGTTTTTAGGCTTTTTCCTTAAACGGCTGTTTAGGCCGTCATGATCAGAGCATGAATCAGCTGTTTCAGTGCAGTCAGAATAAGAAAAGTGAATTTATCTGAACAGCGCTGAATCAGATACAAATAAAAACATTTTCTATGCGTGAAGAAGTTATTTGTATTTTATTTAAATACTTCCACCCTGGTTACAACAACTCCTTCCTCCTCTTCCCATTACTATTATTAATCTTATTTTAGGAAGATCATAATTGTTTTATTTTCCACTAAAGCCTGACATAAGTCCAGATGAATATTTTGTACTTTTAGGGTCGTGCATTTGACCTTTTTTCAGTCCAATCGCTGTAAAACTCTTTTTTAAACTCAGGATGAACCTGTGTTTAATTTAAATTAAATTTAAATGCATTTGGCAAAGAACCAGTTTAAACTGAATCTTTAGACATTTTAACAGCAGAATTATAAAGATTATAAACATTTTTGTAGGATCTAAGATAAACCCTGAACTGTTTGACAGTAAAAACGACTTTTACCAACAAAGTATTCCTGTTTTAATGCTTTTCTTTAGATTTCTTTAATACGTGATTTGCAGTGTTGTTTTTTTAAGACTAATTAATCCTGGGAAGTTGACTTTACTCGTTATTATTGTTATTTAGGCAAACGTCTGCAACAAGAACCGGGATATAAAAGAAGTTTTTCAATAATTATTTCACAAATCTGGAGACCTTTAGACTATGGTTATGTTAACCAGCTCTGAGGGTGTTCTTCGAGTTTGACCTGTGACCTTTAGGACCCCTCATCCTGATGGTGACCCACCTTAAAATGTATTAATCAGATCCTAAAAGTGTCTCAGAATACAAACATCCTTCCTTTAGCTACTCCTCCATACAGACTCTGGTGTATCCGACGTGCACGTGTAAACACTCGGCCACAATAACCTCACGAGGGTCAAAACAACAGGCCTCAGTTCACATCACACGTGCACGCTCACGGGCACGCTCAGCTCTTTCCACAGTGTGTTATGAAACAGAGAGGAGAAGCCACTTGAGTGCTGGGAGAGTATTCTCTCCTCCCACTGGGGAATATCACACATTAGTGGCCTGCTGACAGCACAAAGATCAGCTCCTGATACACACACACACACGCACACACACACACACACACACACACACACGTGCGCGCGCACACGCACATGCACACACAGAGCATTCTAAGAGTAAACATAGAGATGGGTGTGGAGGAGGCGAGTCAATTCTGCAGAAAGATAAAAGCTTTGTTTTAGAGTTCAGCGGCCCTGATCCAGGATCTGTGGTTCTGTTGGACCACCGCCTCCTTGGAAGCTCCTATTTGAAGATCGAGTGCGTCAGAAACGGGTCGTCCGAGTTCAAAAAGAAAAAGAACGAAAGCTTTTACCCATGTCTGCGTGACTTGCAGCTTCCAGTGCAGCGATCACAAGAACTGCATGTTCTTGACAAACCCAATTACTCTGATATTATCCTCCGACTCTTATGTAATAAACCAAATCAGCACTGCTCGTCTTAACTGCATAATCAAATACAAGTTTGAAGGAATTTACTCAGCTTGTGTGATGAAACGATCGGAGTCAGAAACTGAAGCTACGACTGAACATGCAGCAACCAGGAGACACAAACCAGCATGTTGTTTAAAACTGTCTTTCACTTTAATAAGATCAATGCAAAGTGCAAAGAGATAAAAAAACAATGTGTGGTTCACTGAAAAACACATTTTTTATGATTATTACTGATTAAAATCGAAGTTCTTCACTGAGAAACATTTTTTACTTATTATTTTTGAAAATGATTGCTCACTCTGAGTGCTGCATGCAGGCTGAACATGAAAATAGTCTCCTACACCTATCTCCTGCATCAGCTTCTGATACAAAACAGACGGTGAAACTCTAGGATAGAAAATCCTGACAGATCTATGTCACCCTGTCACTAACACTCATGGACTCGCCCATCTTGACTCACGACGGGGAAGGCTGTAGCTGGTTTAGCGTCCAGGAAACAGCAGAGAACGTCTCAGCTAGTAGAGGCTAACCATTAGCATTAGCAACTCCACCACACAGCAGAACTCCTCCAGGCTTGTGTTTTTTGTGGAGATAAAACATCAACGCTGCAGAGCAAACAGAGTCAGTGGTAGTGTTGTGTTGCTGTCAGCCAATCAGAGGAGAGATGTCCAAGTATCAGGAAGTAAGACTCCAGATCCTGTCGTCTGAAGCTACTTTCTCCTCCAGCTGAAACAGGTGCATCTGCACAAGTGCAGAAGGGCAAAAGGACATCTTTAACCATATGTCCTTTTTGGGCTACCATAGACAAGTTGGCAGTTTTCACACTCAAAAACATAAATACTTTGGGTTAATGTATGAAGAAACATTCAGAAATAAAACATTGTCATTACAATAGGTGACAACAGACCAGCGATGCTCACATTAATGCTCTAAACCACAAAAATAAACTATTATGAAAAGGATATTAGAACAACTTGCTTTCTTATTGGCTTGTTTGAAGAAAAACAAAGATTTGACCTAAATGTGTCTCCACCACGTTAACAGATTTAAAGAATAAGTAAACTTTCTAAAACTGTATTTAGAACAACTCCATGTTGTTTCAGATGGATTTAAAAGCATAAAAATATTTTTGGAGCTCCACTGTGAGCAGCGATGAGTCATTTTT